TTAGCACTACAGATGATGAAAGTTGAAGTATGCCTTGGTTGAATATCAGGGATTTCTTTTACATGTCATTTAAATGACAAACACAGAATGGCACTTAAAGGGGGTGCACACATACTCTTTTAAAAGAAGGGAGGTAAAACATTTTATTTTTATTTCCAGCAGAGTGGAAGGTGGGTAAGTAGACCTTTGTGCCCAGATTAGTGCCTTTTAATTACAACTTTGCAGGTTTTATTCTGTTAAAGGTGACAGCTATTATTGTGATCATTTTGAAGTGCTTCAATAAAAGTGTTGTTGAAAAAATGTTCTTTTGCATATTCATCTATAGTAGCACAGCTGTTTTTATGCCCTGTTAGACATATCATCACCAAATTGTGGGAAACATTGTTACTCTCAAGCGAAACCAAAAATATCTATGCTAAAATCTAATTCTATAGATCATCTGTAAGAGGAGTGAACATGCTGACTCTCTCAAGCGCTCTTCTAGGAATTAAGAGACTAGGTGGTATTGGTTTTGTACAGGCGGGCATATACACTCAAGTAACGAATTTAGGAACTATTTCCTGATTGAATTAGGAAATTTTACATTTTAAGCTGGTACTCTCATAAAATGGTGATCTAGAATATACTCATGAATGAGGCTAAGATTAATTTTAAAATGTCCCTCCCTCTCCTTTAGCCTACAGCTCAAGGGAGTAGTTGGGAATGCTGCTGTTTGAATGCTACATGGGCAGCTTTGTTTATACAGCTCTTCCTCATGTTTTTATGTATTTCCTCTTTTTAAAAAAAAAAAAGAACAAACGTTGAACTGTTAGGCATGGCGGTCAGGGAAAAGTACCATTTGTTTGCCACGTTGTAAATGGGTCCGTTCATTACCTTGAAATTGCATGTCTTTGAGGAAAAAGTCAAAAGCTGTTGCAGAGTGGTTGCTGGGACGGTATGTGCTCTGTGTTAGAAGAGTGGTTTCTATGGAAACCAGCAAACTGTAAGTACATAACTTCATTTTGACAGAGTGGCCATAAGCCTTGTACTCAGCAGGGGACAACTTTCTGGATGGCTGTTCTGTGAAACTCTACCCTTTCTGGTTACTGCGTTTGCCAGCTCTTCTCATTTATGCTACTTCCTAAAACCCCCAGCTGCCTTGGGATTTGTTCTTCGTTCACTTCCACAATCACATAACGTATTAGTTCATGACATCTTTGGCACTGCGGTAGTCACACTTACTCTACTTTTTTTTCCATCTTGCTACTCATGACTATTTTGGTTGTGTAACTTGAATTCCCACACTGATGATCGATCTCCCTCCTTGTCCTCACGTTCCAAATCCTCCTCTCAGCTACCTTGTTTTCTCTTTGCCTTTTTTCTCTGTAAGACAAGGAAGAAAGCTTGTCCTGATGTTAGAACAAAGCATTATTCCTGAGTTATAGTCCTACCTTTGCCATAATTCACAGTGTGATTGGGATATTCCACTTTTTCTCTCTGCACCAGGAAGAAGGGAGGGGGAAAAGATGTCTTTTATATGAAAGCTCAGGTGAAAGAAGAGCGCTTTGTGTGTATAATGATTTTTTTGAACAACTTTTTTGTTTCTCAGTCTCAGGACTTCACCTTATTGACTGAGAGTTGCCCAGTTTCAGGCAGCAAGGCGGCTATTTCTGTCAATTAGACGTGCACCGTTTTTGGCCTCGCCTTTGCTGAGTGCCATGCAGTGACAGACCTGACTTCTTGTGACAGCTAAAGGCTCGCGGCCCTTGCGTGCTGCACTAAAAGAGCCCCCTCTCAGGTTGCCGGTGTGGGGACTGTGCCAGTAAACACTAACGCTAGACAAGGAGCAGCTTTGGCACCGCTTCTCTCCATGTTTCAGCGTGTGACCCCGTAGTAACTGGATGTTTCTCCTAGCGACTTTAAAGCCTCCCAGGACTTTCACAGGCTGGCAGGGGAAAAGCATAATCTTACCGCCACGCTTGAAGGAAAAAGCTCACTACTCGTGGGGGGCTTTGTCCAGAAGACGTGACATTCCTTTGAAGGCAGGCAGCTGCCACCAGTGACACCACTTATTTCCTTTCTTTAAAGGAAAAAAGAAAAAGCCAGTAAAAGTAACCACGATTCCTCTCTGGGATTCCCCCTCAGCAGAGGGATTTGTGTTGTGAACTGTTACTCGCCAGTGCTTAATCTCCTTCCTTTGGAGGCCAGCAGACTTTGCGCTCCGCGCTGCTGATA